GTACCTCCAGATGTTTTGGCATCATTTTCTAAAATAGTATGGAACATCTGACCTCTGGTAGGATATTGGTAGATAACTAGCTAGTATTATCTGTAATTTGAATTAATGAATCAAGAATAGCTTTGTCTTTAATGCAAGTAGTGTTGACATACTAACCTCACGGCTAGTTTTCTTTGAGGCTTTTATAGGGTCACTTTCTAAGAACGTAATGCCACCTGTGTAATAAAGGGCATGCTAATAACTGTGCATTTGCTGATTCTGGAAACACGCCGTGCTGTTTTAGAAGGATCTTATTGCTTTGATGGTGATTTTTACTCAGAGCTGAAATGTCTGATAAACATGTGCCTTGTAAGAGATCTATAAATTGGATGCTTATTTTGATGTTACAGACTCAAAATAATGGCTTTTTGTAATCTTTCTGAAGATTTTTAAAAATGTAGTACCATATGGTGTAATTTTTCTGTCATCTTACAATTCTTATATACTAATCTACTTCTGTTTAAAGGACCTAACTCCCTTGGAACATTTAAGAAAACGTTGATGTCAAAGGCAGCACTCACTCACAAGTTTCGCAAACTGAGGTCCCCTACAAAGTGCAGGGACTGTGAAAGCATCGTGGTGTTCCAGGGTGTTGAATGTGAAGAGGTAAGATCTTTCTGGAATTATGTGAGCCCTTCTATGCTCTTCTTGCTTTATGCTTTTTCGTTATTAATTTTACTGATTAGAGTCTTTTGCAAATGTATTTTTAATAAATTGAGCCACGGTGTACCTTCTATGGTTTTATACTTCATTTTGCTATTTAATGTATTTCATACACTGCAAATAATACCTATTAAACTCATTTTTGTTATGTTACCACTCTACCTATAGTTTGTCCAGTTATGAATAGTTTTAAGGTGAATTAACCATTGTAAACTATGATTTTCTTGTAGTGTCTCCTTGTTTGTCACCGAAAGTGTTTGGAAAACTTAGTCATCATTTGTGGTCATCAGAAACTTTTGGGAAAAGTACACTTATTTGGAGCAGAATTCACACAAGTTGCAAAAAGGGAACCAGATGGCATCCCTTTTATACTTAAAATATGTGCCTCAGAGATTGAAAATAGAGCCTTGTGTCTACAGGTACATTGTAACTCTTAAAATTGAAAATTTTAAAACATAAATGTCTGTGTAATTTGTTCTGATGATAAGGAGACTTTAAAGGAGAACAGTTCTCTGAATTTTTACTAATAAATCTGAATTCAGTCAGATCTATTTGGAAAATACTACTTTTTGATCCTAGTTTTCTTCCAAAATATTGATATAAATTGAAGTAGACATTAAATATATTTAAATTTCTGCATTTGTTTTAAAGCAGAATTTTGCAAAATTTTTCCTTTTCTTCTGAAGGGAATTTATCGTGTATGTGGGAACAAAATAAAAACTGAAAAACTGTGTCAAGCCTTGGAAAATGGAATGCACCTGGTAGACATTTCAGAATTTAGTTCGCATGACATCTGTGACGTCTTGAAATTATACCTTCGACAGGTAAAGTTATACCCTCAAAACGTACCATTAAGTAGAAAAAATCAAAAACATGATTTTCAGCTGGCTGATGTTTGCTACACATATTTTTTTCATTGACATAGACCATATCAATATCTTTCCAATTATTAACGTGCAGATTAAAGAGTATATAAAATACACGTACAGTTTAAAGACCTCTAATAATAAAAACACTCATTCTCCGGCACCTAGCATAAGGAAATAAAATATTACTAAACCTTATAAAAGCCCCCCCCCATTGTAGCCCAGTGGTCTTTCCTAGGCACGTTAATACCTCCCTCTCTCCCTCTCTGTTCTTGATAGTTTTAATACCTGTTGTGTATTCCTAAATAATATATCATTAAGTTTTAGAAAAGTGAGTGGAAAGTATCAATCTGGCTGTCTAAGAAAAGGACATTATTCACTCTGTTACAAGAAGGGTTCAGCAAGTAGAAGCGTCTGGGTCATAATTTGGCTTTAACTTCGCTGACACTTTACACGGCTGTTGTGGCGAGCGAGCGGTCCAGGCGTGAATGCTCTCGGGGAACACGAAGCCCTCCGTGGCTGCTGGGGGTTCGGCAGGGCTGTGAGTGGGCACGGGCTGCTCTGTATTTTCTTCTGTGCTCGCTCTTGCACCTGCATGTTAACGGGAGTAGGTTCAAAGAAAGCGCTTCCGTGGGGTGAAGGAAGTGGCTGCAGTGGCGGAGGCAGCTGCGTGTGGAAGGGCTGCGGGAGCAGCCATGTGATCATGAGCCAGATCCCAGAGACCTGGGCCTCCCCCGCTGCATCCTGCCCTCGGGGAAGAGGGAGAGCCAGTCACCGAGAGCTGGGTGGTGGTGGTCCTCAGCACGTCCGTCTCGGGGGTTCTACGTCTCCATCTGGTGAAGAGCCGCCATCCTGGGATCTCTCTCCTCCACCCTCGTCTCTTTTATGAGGGGACACCTGTCTTCTGTGTCATGGCTTCCTGTTTTTCCTATTCCCCTGTTTGGTCATGCCCATCCTCGAGCCAGGTGGAACAGAGTAAATATTTGAGGCTGTGTTTATCTGTAAATGTCTTTATTCTGCTTTCTTGAATGGGGATGGAAGAGTGGGTGGTGTGGAGGGTTACAGTATTCTAGGCTGGAAATCGTGTTTCCTCAAAAGTTGTTCTCTTTGAAACCTGAAATCCTTCTCGTTCCTGCTGCTTTGTGTCTGGCTGCTTGTTTTCTCTCTGAAAACTTGTAGCATCTTTTTTCTCTCTCTGTGACCCTAAAATGTCAGTGTATGATTTTCATCTGCTGTTTCAGGCACTCCGCAAGCTCTGTCAGCGGCTTGTCCTTTAGTTCTTGACACTTTCCTTTTCTTGCTCATTTCTTCCTCTCTGTTTTCTCTGTATTTTGTTTCTGGAATTCATATTTGGATACTTTACAACTTGTACTGGTTCTCTGGTTTCCTTCCCTTTTCTATATTATTCATTTCTTTTTTGTTTGTTTGTTTTTGTTTATTTTTAATGCTTTCTAAGAGGTCTCCTCTGCTTTATCTTCCAATCCTGTATACTGTAAATCAGTTTTTAATTTCCAAGAATTCTGATTTTCGGTTCCCTTTGCATCCTTTTTTCTTTTTTATTGAATGCAGTATTTTTTCCACCTGAGATATTCATAGCTTTTTTTAAAAGGATTTTTTTCTCTGCTTAGCCTCTAGCCTTGTCCAATAGAAATATAATGTGAGCCCTAAATATAATATTAAATTTTCTAGTAGCTACACAAAAAGAAATAGGTTGAAGTTAATTTTAATATTTTATTTAACATACTGAAAATATTATCTGAATATCTAATCAATATTTTGAATGATTAATGAAGTATCTTACTTTATTTTTGGTACTGAGTCTTTGAAATCTGGTGTGTATTTTTCACCTAGAGCACATGTCAGTTTGGAACAGCCACATTTCCACTGCTCAGTAGCCACATATGGCTAGTGGCCACCATATTGACAGCTTAGTTGTAGACCTTCAAATTGGTTTTTTCCTACTTATTTTGATTTCTGTCTTCCATAGTTATCTGCTTAAAATGGAAGACTTGAGAATGGGAATCTCTCTGGCTGCTCTGAGTACATGAGGCTTTGAAGATTTTGAGCTTTACTTAGTGTGATCTAGGAGGGCTGTTTGGGAAACACCTGATCATGTCTGGATCTCTAGGTCTCTGCTCTTGGGCTGGTCTGATAACCCCAGAGAAGGGTCTTTCTGGGGCTACAGGTACATTTCCAGAAATCTGGGAGCCAAATTAGGTAAGAAGTCTCCAGAATTGGCATTCAGCAGGCATGCAGTCGCTAAATCTCTGCTTATTTTAAGAGTTGCCCGCCTGTTCCTTGTGTTTGGCATTGCCCATCCAGGGACCCTCTGTTTTACACTGTCCAGAGAAGACATCCTCAGGAGCATGGAGTGGAGACAAGGATCTAGAAATCTAATGCTTCTGAGATAGCTCACCCTCCCCCAGATCAGAGGATCTAGTCTGACAGTCTCTGAGTCTCCTTAGGATCCAGTAAATCATGTGGGGCCTCTGTTTGGAATTTCAGCTTCCTCAGGAGTGCTAAGTCAGCACGTGTTCATCTTTTCTTAAGCTTGTGAAATGTTGCTTTTCTTCTTCATTCTGATTCTCTCAGTCCTATGGGCTTAACTGTATTTCAGTAGTTTTGGGATGGGGGTGGGGAGAAATTAGGTGCAAATTTTGGATCTGCCATGTTAGCCCAGGAAACTGTTGATATCTCTTAAATCACATTTTGCAGGATTTTCAACTGAGAAATGGAGACAGTATCTTTAAATGACTTTTAATCTCACCATGAATCACCCTTTATTTCTTCTGCCAGTCAGGGAGAGGAAATGGGGTCCAACACTGTCAGCTCTCATCCTATCCTAGGCATGCTGTGGGCCCAAGGCTTTAGCGTGGGAAGCCATGCTCCCTTCTTGCAGTATTAGAGAGTAGCCTTTGTTTTACTCATTACCATGTGGGAAGTCTGCAAGAGGCTAAGTGACCTCCTTCAGATCCCAAGGTGGTAGAGGTAGAAATTGATCTCAAGGCTTCCCCTTTCTGGGACCAGCAGGGGAAACTGGAGAAGTGGGTGCCTACTTCACCATGAATAGTATGGGTCATCAGCTAGCCAGAAATGTGTTGTATTTTCCGTCGGTGAGCAGTAGAAAGGCTGAAATCAGTTATGCCAGGAGACAGAGCAAGGTGGTATGCCCATCGATAGTTTGAGAGGGGAACTTTCTCTTTTAACCTACTTGGGACAATTCAAGTTGTATTTAAAACTTAGATAACGAAGTACTGACAGTTTCTTTCTTGTGAGACATGTCTCCTTATGCTAATCTCCAGTCTAGCCCAAGCAAAACACAAGGACCCTAAAGCGTTTTGTTCTCTGTCTCTCCTGTAGGAACAGAAAACAAGCTTTTTCTGCCTAATTTGACTTATATTGTACATTATCCTGGGTTTGTTTCAATAAAACAGTTGACGATCATGCTAACTTTTGGACAGTCATGAATGTAGTTGGTATAGAATACATATTAGAGTTTTAAAATCACATCATACAGCCTTAAGTTTAGAGTTTTACTGATTACCAGTTAACTCATTTTTAACATAGATATAATATATGGTGATACCACATCTAGCGAACATACGTACATTTCTTTTTTTCTTGTTCTTGGGTAGTTTTTTTCCTTCAGTTGTATGTTAAGGTATAATTGACACACAGCACTGTACAAGTTTAAGGTGTGCAGCATAATGACTTGACTTACATACACCATGAAGTGGTAATCACGTCTGTTTCAGTGAACATCCATCATCTCATATAGATACAAAATTAAAGAAATAGGGAAAAATAGTTTCCATTGTGATGAGATATGTGTACATTTCTCAGTGTGGATTGACCATACGTCCTGTTAACCTGAAAGGACTTGCAGAACCACTCAGTAGCTATTCAGTAGATTATTTAAACAGGGGGAAAATTGGACAGAATGATACTCCTATTGTCATTTTATTTCTTTAGCTCCCGGAACCATTTATTTTATTCCGATTGTATAAGGAATTTATAGACCTTGCTGTAGAGATCCTACGTGTAAATGAAGAACAAGAGACAAGAAAGGACAACCTCGAGGACAAAAAATGCCCAAGTACATGTATAGAAATAAACCGAATTCTTCTAAAAAGCAAGGACCTTCTAAGACAATTGCCAGCATCAAATTTTAATAGCCTTCATTACCTCATAGTCCATCTTAAGCGGTAAGAACTTTGAATAAGGCAAGCATCCGTTAATAGGTGGATAATTGATCAGTTTTTTGGTTTTGCTTTTTTGGTTTTTTAAATTGTAAAATACACAGAACATAAATTTAACCATTTTAATGATTTTTAAGTGTACAGTTCAGTGGTATTAAGTAGCTTCATGTTGCTGTGGTATTGTTTTTACTTTGAACATTCCATTTCTCTAGAATGTGTTAGGGAAAGGGGGGCATTAAATACAGGTTCATGCAACCAGCATCTTTCCCTCAGATGCCTCCTATGTGCCAGGCTCTGGCTGGGGAAATGAGGACGAACATGTGAGGTTTCTCTCGTCTTCTGTGCCTGTCAGCTCGAGGGGAGGCCTGCGCACGTGTGCGGTGCAGCGGCCCTAGTCTTCTGATGGAGCTGCGCTCAACATGCAGAGGAGGATGGGGGGGTTCTCACGTGGCTCAGAGAAAGTAGCCTTGAACCAGACTTGAAGAGTTCAGTCATGGCTTGGTGACAGAGACTGTACAAAAGAGTATTCCAGGCAGAGGCTAACAGACACAGAGACATAAGAGATCGTTTTGCATTTGGGGAAGTGTAAGTAGCGGTTAGGCTAGGACTGGGCAAGCGGCAGCCCAGAGTGAGCTGGGCGGAGTCCTGGCAAAACCATGCGTACCTGGCAGGTGACTTGCCTGTCTCTTTCTGTGCTCACTGAAGGGTTTTGAGCCAGGAATTTAACACGCTCAGGTTTGCCTGCTAGGTCTTTCTGGCAGCAATATGGAGAACAGATTGACGGAGGAGGCTTTGTTTCAACTCCGATCTCCTTGAATAGTCAGAAATAAAAGGTGATGAGAGCTTGAAGTAGGGCCAGAGCAATGGGAGTGGCAACAGAGTAGAGAGACCTTCAGGATCAGTGAGGCTTGAGGACTAGATAGAAAGTTTCCAGCGTGAGGACCTGGGAGGATGTACTGTGTATATAATAAGATGGGTGCAGCTTTTAGGATATTTTTTATTTCTGTTGATAAAACTGTAGTGATTCCTTCACTTACTTGAATTTAATCGTAATACTGTGAAACCCAATTTGGTGGGTGGTCAGTATTTAATCAATAAATATATCCTTTTCCTAGACAGTTCTCCTCCACCCTTCCCCACCTGTAGTAACCTACTGTCACGGAAGTCTAACACAGCTTTATGTGTTTGGCTTCGCAGAGTCGTCGATCATGCAGAAGAAAACAAAATGAACTCCAGAAACTTGGGGGTGATATTTGGACCAAGTCTCGTGAGGCCGAGACCCACAGCTGCTCCCATCAGCATCTCGTCTCTGGCTGAGTACTCCAATCAAGCGCGGCTGGTCGAGTTCCTCATCACCTACTCACAGAAGATCTTCGACGGCTCCCTGCGGCCGCAGGACGTAGCTGCGGGTGGTGCAGGTGGCACTGCACCTCAGGTTGAGCAAGGCCCTCTTCTGAAGCCTCTGTTGTCACCAGAAGAAAAAGATCTGGAGCATTCTATGAAGTCACTCTTCTTTTCTTCAAAGGAAGTGAGTTTTGACTTTTATGGAGTTGTGTTGGAACTTTGTAATGTTAGTTACTAACAAGTTAAAAATACTTGAACTGTTTATTTTGAGATGTGTTTGTGTTCTACAAGCTTAAAAATTTGCTTCCATCAACAGGATAACAATACTGCAGACAGTGAAAGCAGAATTTTTGAATCTGCTACATCATTTGAGGAATCAGAACGAAGGCAAAATGCGTTAGAAAAATGTGATGCATGTCTCATTGGTGAGTGGCCATGTGAAAATGCATGTTTGTTGACTTAAAACTGTCCCAGTAAACCATGGTTAAAAGCCAAGGTGAGTGGAGTGGAGAGAAGTCAGGGAAGGACGCGTCGTTAGTAGATGGGTCTTTGCCAGCCATTTAGGAAGCTGCCTTCTAGTGTGCCTTGCATTTGAGCAAGTGTTACTCTTTATATTGGTCCTTACAGAAAGACATCTTGGAGTTCATAGGTGTTTCTGTGCTCGTTCTGAAATTTTCTTTGTTTCCATTTTTGCCGTCAGAGTCACGGCCGAAGTGTGTTGAGCAGTGTGATGATTCGTTAGGATCTCCTGTTACTACAGATCATTGTGTTGATCTAACTGTTCACAAGGTATCAACGAGACTTCTAAAATTCAAAAAATGTAGACTCCCAAACTTCAAAAATTTTTTTTCAAGTGCGTTTTCCTGTCACCTGCCTTTCACACATTAAGCACACATATCTGTCTGTCTTTTTTATTTCCTTGCCTGTAGTCACTTCATTCACTGTATGATGATTTTGGTTGTAGTGACTGGGAGCTGTCCATTTGTGGAAAGGCTTCCTTCCACTTGTTACTGTAATTCTGTACATCACTAGAGCCAACTTCCGATTTTTAAGTGCAGCCATATATGTGAAATTTGATGTATAATGAGATATCAGTGATCGCAGCCTGACAGGCTCTTAACAGTAAGGGAGCTAATAACGTTCACTGGGTACCTGCCTGCTCTGCGCTAAGCACTGTGCTTACTGTTTGATGCCATTTATCTGATTTGATCTTTGTAACAGCTCTGTGCTATGAAGTGGGTGGTGTTAGCCCCATTCGACCCATAGACTAGAAGCCTGAGAGAGTTTAATAATGTCAGAGGTCATGCCCCTAGTAAATTGTTCAGTTTGAACCTATATTTGTCATATTTCACTGTTCCGTGACCTAGGGCTCCCAATTAGGAATCATAATAGAAATGTGTCATTTTTCGAGTACTTAGTAAATAGTAGATAATTCTAAGCACTTTCATGATTAGGTCATCTAGGCCACACATCATCATAGATGGAATTATGTTTCCTTTCTGACAGTTGGAGACACTGAGGGACAGTGAGATTGTCTCACTCAGGGCAAAAGGGGGAGAACTGAGCTAAACTCGGCCACTGGGCTTCCGAGTCTGCACTCCTAGCCATCGCGCTACAGATTTTTCCCCAAGAACTCAAGAATGCACTTTGGTTGGTGCCTACAGCCCCACGGCAATGTGTCAGGCCCCTTAGAGTGCTCCATCCATGCAGGGAAGGACCTGGGAAAGCAAACAAGAGGGCGTTGCCCTGGACGCCAGGGAAGAGAGGTCCACAGTCTGAGGGAGGAGGAAGGTCAGATGAGATGATGACTCTCAAGTGACTCTGGTGGGCTCCTGCCTGCAGACCGCTGCCCGAGACATGTGGGAGGAGGACCTGGCGACAGGGAGGAGGCCTGCGTGCTGTGCTTGGGGCCCGCTGAGACTCAAAGGCAGGGTGGTGCCACAGCTCAGAGTTGTTTTTTTTTAGCAGTAAAAGGAGTGTGAGCAGAGAGCCGTAATTTTCCAGAAATGGGAATTTTTTGGGGGGAGATACAGCAAAAAGAGACAGGGTTTGAAGGAGCCCAGGGTTCTAGTTGGAGAAGACAGTTAATGGGGAGAATGGCATTTTTTACTTAATACAGAACTGTCTGATCGTAATAGGACGGGATGACACTTAATAGTTGATCAGATAACCGCATCACAAGGCATTTACTCTGGTTTGCTCTCGCTGTGGGTTGAGTGTAACTGAAAAGCATAGTAAATTGGCAGAAGCCTTGGGATTTAGGGCACAGTTGCATGTGGTTGGTGTGTGACTTGGTGTCGCTTTTCTGGGGGTGCCACGCAAATATCTGCCTGTTGAAATGGCAGCCCTTTCGCCCAGCAAACCCCTGTTCACGCGCAGCACATAAAAAGAAGCCACTTCAGCAAGTGTGTTTTTTTTTTCACTAACTTGCAGTGAGTTTTGTAGCTATTTATTATATTGATTTAAATAAATAGGAATTCTAACATTTTTATTCAAAGTGTGACTTTAATATTTTATGACTATTTAACTCCTCTGCATAGAAAACGGAGAATAACTTGGAAAAAATATACGGAGACCCCTGTTCTGAGAGGTTGTTTATGTATAACTCAGACTCTTGTTAACCACGTGCCGCCATAAAGTTTGATTTTTAAATAAATCTTTTCCTTTTTCAGACAACAAAGTGCGTTTGCTTGTGGACCAAGAGCTTGAATCAGCATCACAGAAGGTGGACGACGTTTGTAAAACCTCCAGGCTGCTTCCTCTGAAATCCCACAGGGAGACAAACGGTGTTGAGAGGCACACTCCACGGACCAAGGTCAGACCTGTAAGTTTGCCTGTCGACAGACTGCTGCTGCTTGCAAGCCCTGCTAACGAGAGGAGTGGCAGAAATACGGGAAATACAAATTCAGACAAGTTTTGCAAGAATCCTTCCTTTGAAGGAGTTAATAGAAAAGACCCCCCAACTACTGTTTGCTCCAAATCTGATGGCTTGGATCAGCAGACTCTACAAAAAGCTCGGGAGAAACAGTACGAACAGAATGACCTGACTGCGAAGACCGCACTGATGGCGCCCGGTGCATTCCAGGAAAGAGGAGGGACGGCCAGCAGCAGCAGGCTGCGGGGGGACCACCCCGTCAGCAGCGCCCAGCCCAGCAAGCCATACGCAGAACCCTTCAGGCCGGCACGGCAGGTGGCCGAGAGACGGTCCTCGGACTCAGGCCCTCCTGCTCCCGTCAGAGCACCCAGGACTCTGCAGCCCCAGCACTGGACGACGTTTTATAAACCACATGCTCCCACCGGTGGCGGGAGAGGGGACGAGGAGAAGTCTGTGACACCCTCCGCAGCCACGCCCCCGGGCACAGCTCCCGCCCCGCAGGAGCACGTGCTGAAACCAGAGCCAGACTCGGAGAGGCCGCCGGCGGGCCCCGCGCAGCCGCCGGGCGAGCCCAGGGACGCGGCCGAGGCGCGCGACGTGCCCGGCGCGCACCCCGCCTGCCCGAGACCGCGGCTGAAACGGATGCAGCAGTTCGAAGACCTGGAAGATGAAATCCCGCAGTTTGTGTAGGGTTGTCAGAATTCTGTGTTTCTTTTTCCGTTGCTTTGTGATACTGTTGTGTTTGTTTTCTGGAAGAAATTTTTGACAGGGCCCCTTTCGTACAGGATTGCCAAATCATGGATTTTGCCTCTTGTCCCGGTAGCATGTGATCCCGTGTTGGTTGTGTTGAACGGTGGAAAGCTTTGATAGGGTCCCGTCTCTGCCTCGCTGGAATTGTATGTACTTTTGAAGTTGTGAATAAATAGACAGACTCGTGTTTTTTAAAGTTCAGTTCATTTTCCCCGTAAAATGGTCCATTTAAGTGCATCCCTAATGCAGCTCTCAACTAATAGGTGCAATTGAGGGAAATCAGCTTTATTTTTTTGAAGTGAAACTATGTGCTTATTTATAAAAGGAGTGTTTCTGAGTGCAAGTGCCTGAAAGATCTCTGTTTGGTATGATTGTTTTTTTCACACAGTTTGTAGTGTATCTTTGACCATTTGTGCTTTTAGGGTATGTATGTAAACTTCCATTTTTCAATTTGCAATTCACTTAACTTTTTAATATTCACATAGTGGCCAAAAGGCTTACAAATCTGCATTAATTACATTTTAATTAATTGCCAGATTTTACATGTGGTAGTCAGTTGGATTGTACAGGGAAAATGCACTTAACCATGTTTCTAAATTGTGTAGTTCAGTCATATCTTATTTGGCTTTAGATATTATACATTTAATAGTTTTTCACCTCTTGGCTTTGTTCTGCATAAGCTTTTGTTGTTCAACAGTTGTGAACCCTTTGGTGTTTAATATAATAGTCCAAAAATGTTTTAAAATTCAGTACATTTCCTCTTAATATTGCTTGGGTTTTTTTAAAAAAAACTTTTCCTTTTGTATGAAATGTTTTATGTATGAATAATTTTATGTACTTTTTCTACCTGAATTTATAACCATTGACAATGTATGTTTCATCTGAATCATGCAAAGATTTATTTAAGTTGATTCTAAGTATAATTCAATAAGCCTCATTGTTTGGAATTTGCGAGGAGGTGTAGATGATTGGATATATTTCATATACAAAATTCCCAATGTTTAGAACTAATGCAGTTCTGTTCTTTTCTTGGTTTTGTCATTTTGCCTAAAGTAGGATATAAAAGGGACAAGAAATAGCCTTTTTGTATGTGTGAATTATATTTGTAACAAATGCTTTTATATGACCATGTTATACTTGATAAAAATATATATATTATATATATTAACCTGTTAAATTATTGCAAGTTCTTGTGGGTTCTCTGAAATTGTTGCCTCTTAGGGTGTGAGACTTGAAGGTTTATTAACCATTGGCTTAGTGATCAACGCTTGGGGCTCATATGTCCCTTGACTACAACATGGATTTTATGGGAAGCTGTTACATAGTTTTATGTGACATTAAGGACTAGGGAGAAAGAATAATCCTGCCCTTTTGGGCTGGAGCCTTGTTTTTAGTCCTCATTGTAAAAAAACATAAAAAAAAAAAAGAATTGGTATAAAAACCTGAAAAGAAATTAAGAGCCAACATTTATTGAGCCCTTTCTGCATGCCATGAACTCTGCTAAGTTCCATATACATTATTTCATTTCAGGTTTACAGCAGGGAAGGTAAGTACCTTATTCCTGTGTAACAGGTAAGGAAACTGATCCTCAGTTAAATGATGTGTTCTCAGTTGCACAGGTGTGACAGCTGGAGTCAAGTCTCAAATCCAGGACTGTCAGATTCTGATGTAACAGTGCTCTTAATGGCTGTGTAATTACTAAGTAATATCCAGTAGGGTTTAACAGAAAATGTGCCTTTTTAAAAATTTAATGCTGTTAAATATGTGTAACATAAAATTTATCATTTGACCAGGGTTGAAGTGTACAGTTCAGTGGCATTAAGTACATTCACATTGTCCTGCAACCATGACCTCTGTCTATGTCCAGAACTTTCTCATCTTTCTATGGAACCTCGAAAATGTACTTTTAAACTCTCTTAGTTTTCTTTTAATGTTTGAGACAATCTAAAGAATATTTCATAATCAAATGGCCTCTCTGTTTCCCCTCAGTGAGCGCTCCACTTCGGGGTCCTTTCTGCTGTCAGTCTGTGGGTGCTTTCCGGTTTCCTGGGACATAAAGCAAGTAACTCTTGAGAAGGTGTTGCTGTTTGTAGAGCACCCACAGGGTGTGCTGTGCCAGGTAATATGGTGGCAGTCACTGATCAGGAAGGCGTTCTATGTCACGTTGAAAGAACGTGAGCCAAGGGAAGGGATTAATAGTGGGATCCGGTTAGAGCTGCCGGTCCACCAGAAAACTTCAAGCTCCCAAGCAGTCATTTGTGAAGTGTCGGCCGTAACTTCCCCACAGGGGCTTGTTTTATGTGCTGAGAACTTAGAATTGATGAGTATTTAAAATTACTTTGGGTGCACCTTAGGCAAGATACATGTGTTTCTGACAAGTTACAGTCACTGTAATTCTCTGGGTTTTTTCTTTCCTAGAGGCAGGAAATTGTTTCTGTGTTGATACGATTTTATATGTAGACAATTGAGTAACATCTAGATTTTAGCAAAGTTGCTCCATTCACCACCAGTGTGCAGAAGTCACTTGTATGGGTGTGTATCAGCAGCTAACAGAAAATGAACAGTTTTAAAAAGATCCTTAAACAAGAGCATAAAAAATTTGAAGCACCTAAGAATGAATTAGCAAATTAGACACAAAATCTTCATGGAGAAAATTTTAGACTATATCAAGAGGCATTCAAGGAGATTTTAAATAAATGGAGCACTGTGTTGTACCTGGACTGGAAGCCGCAATATTGTAAAGATGTTCATGTGCTTTATATTTATTTATAAATTCAGTGTGATCCCATCCAACATAATTTTTGAGCCACTTGAAAGTTGCAGACATGATGCCTCATTAACCCTACTTTAGTGATACTTCCTTAATACTCCTACATAACCGTGGTATGACCATCAAAGTCAGATTTAACGTTGACATGTAATACCTAATCCACAGACCGTATTCAGAGTCTACTGATTGCCCCAACCATGTTCCTCTCTGCTGCAGCAGCCCAGTAGAGGGTTCCGTCTTCTTCAGTGAGAAACAGTTTCAGTCATTTCTTCCATGACTTTGACACTTTTGAACAGTACTTTGTAGACTATCCCTCAGTTTGGGTTCATCTAACGTTTCCTCATTAGATTCAGGGTATACATTTTTGTTTCTGGAAATATGAGAGAAATGATGTCATGTTTTCACTGTGTCATACCAGAGAATGCACTGTGCTGGACTGTCCCCTTCCTGATAATATTAACTTTGACCTCTCGGTTAGGATGGCATCTATCAGGTTTCTCTGTTGTAAAGTTAATAAAAAGAACTTTGTGAGGAGTCTTCAAGACTCTGTAAATGTCCTGTTTCTCATCAAATTGTCAGTCAGTTTGAGTCCACTGACGCTTCTTGCCTGAATCCGTTACTAGTTTTGGTTGCCCAATGGTGAGTTCTTCCTTTCTGATGCTTTGATTGACACTCTACTTGTCCCTACTTGTTCCTTCTCCCTTTATTTGTTTATTCATTTCTATTAATACGGACTGGTGGATTCCTGCTTTATTCAGTAAGTTGCAATATATTACTGTCATTTACTTTGATACTGAACATTTCCCAGACTTGGTCTATGGGAGTCTCTTCAAGCTTGCGTCTATGTCCTTTTGACTTTTTTGAGTTCTTGATTTTTCTGATTTGTCGGCACATCAAGGTGTCCCATGCTTGTCTTGTACTTTCCCCTGACCCAGCCATGTGTCCAAGGAGCCCTGGTTCCTGTCAATGGGAAGCAGTTTATGGAAACCAAGAGCTGAGAAGTACTCACTGCTCCTGATAAGTCATTGGTTCTAAGCCCTACTGGTGGACAGATTAAAGAAATACTTGTGAGTATACACATACATCTGTATGCATCTCTGTGGGTACATTTAAATTGATACCCTTGAGCTCACCTTGATACCTTCATTTCTAATTCAGTGCTTCAGAATTTGGTCTTTCCCTTTTCATGTTTATAACTCCTCTCTCTCATAGTGAGAAGCCTGGCTCCTATAATCCTAAATACATCATTTGCCTACTCTTTATGTTTCCAACCTCCTGACAATGCCAACTGCTGCATTGACCCACCAGCCTCAGATATGTCAAAGGAGTCCTCAGCCATTGCTGCATTGGTCACGACCACACTGCTCCCTAACATACCACTCAGAATCCTAGGAGGACCAGGCCAGCTGAATCCTTGACCCCAGTGATGTCAGCCCTGACCACGCCATTTTAATCCTAGATCCTGGCTATCTGGCTGAATTGACCCCAGCGTAAAGGGAGGTATGGAACAAATTCATGATCTTTTGATAAAGAGCAACTCTTATTTAAATATTTGATTATTGAATTTACTAGGAAAAATTTAAGTGAGCAATTATACTTATTTATCAGGAATACCTAAACACTCTATATTTATGAAATATATAGAAAGTTTTGAACTATGACTTTGCTGTCTCTTTTGTCTCAGTTCTAATAGTTTCAAGTAAATGTAAGACATTAATACTTCCTGTAATAACTAAACCATATTGCATATCACGCTGTTCTTCAGTGCCTTATAGTCAACCAGCATAATTACTCTGTGTACATTAAATTAGCACACTTTTCAGAGGATAGAGAAAAAGAGACTAATTGTCCATGTTTCTGAGTTACAAGTTTTATTTGGATTCTTGGTCAGCTTTCAAATAAACAACAAATAAATAATAGCCATACATCACATGGAAACCTGTCAGGTTTCTGGATGTGGTCCTGCCCCTTCACTGTAGGATACTATATCTTCCTTATAGTGTTGAAAGAATTGGAAAGAAGAGATGGTGTAGCAATGTGAATAGACCAGTGAGTTTTTCATTATCTAGGGAGTGCCAGTTAAGCAAATATGGCCCTGAAATTTAAAAATCAGGACATAGACTAAGTGTGGTAAGATCTTAGTTACAATCGTAGGCACAGAGCCTGATGGATGATAGTTGCTGTCTGCTAAATGAATTATCTTTATCTCATTTCATTTTACATCAGAAATCTGCCTTTTGAGATCTATGTCCAATGAAATCCAAACTTTTTTATATCTAGTTATTTTCTTCAATGTTGTGAGAGTTAATCTAGTCAATTGCCAGTCAAATCAAAACGCACTGTGATTCAGCACAGGAGAAAGCAGTGAACCTATGAATCCTCCATCTACAAGTATAGATACATACGTAATAATTCAGATTCAGTGAGAGTTTTAAATGATTTTTTTTGTTTTAATTGGCTCATAAATGCAGAAGTGTATAAAAATATATGTAGCATACAAAGAATAATTATAAAATGAACTCCCATTAGCCCTCAGTCCCCTTAATAGAGTGCGAAGAAGCCAGCAGAGCGCCCCACTCTGATCACATGGCTCTCTCCCCCTCCACTCCTAGGTGTGACTGCTATCTTGAATTCTATGTTAACCATTCCTTGGTTTAAAAAAAAATCGCTACCTGTCTATTATTTAGTTTTGCCTAGTTTTGATGCTTTTACAAGTGGAATCATGTTTGATCCTTTTGTGGCTGGCCGGCTTTCATCCAACATGTTCTGGGGATCAATCCATGTAGATGTTCGTAGCTGAAAACATATTTTTCCTTTTTTTTTAACTACTGTAAAGTATTCTTGTGGTAAATATACTACAATTTAGTAGTCATCTTACCATTGATAGACATTTAGGTTGCTTCTAATTTTTCATCACTATGAACAATGCTGCATTGAAAACTTAATATTTACTTTTTCTTTCTATCACTTAAAATTGTTTTGTGCTGGTTATACCATTTAATTGTTACTGAGGCAGGTATTCTTAACTGCTTTTTTCAGACAAACAGATAGCCTTCCAAGAGGTTAATAAATTACTGTAATTTATATAGCTAGTAAGAAAGGGTAGTAGGATTTGAGCCCAGGTGTCTTTATTATAAGTTCTATCATTTCTAAATTATTTCATCTTCATTTTTTTCAACCAGAGGCTTTCATAAATTGTGTACTTTCAGGCTGTATTTTTTTCTTTCTAGTTGCTAGGATACTGAAGTTTAGGGTTATCATATCCCAACTCCAAGGTCATTTGCTGTGTGTGTGTGTGTGTGTGTGTGTGTATGTGTGTGTGTGTGTGAGAGAGAGAGAGAGAGAGAGAGAAAGAGTTTATTCATTTAGTTGAAACCAGTGCATCTAAAATTGCTACA